ATTTTTTTTTTAAATTTACGTTTTTGACCCATAATTTAACAATTAATTATTATTTTACCCTTTTTATTAGGATTTTAATAATAATAATAATATTTTTTTTTTATCGGGTTTTACAAGATTCATTTATTGGCTTCTTTTAGGGCATCGGTGACTAAGGAATTTGATAGGACTCTGCTAAATTATGGCAAATTGGAAAGCATCATGTGACTGTAATTTGGATTCATTGATTAACTTTTGCTTTGTTTTGACTCTGCTTTTATTCTTCAGTGGGTTGAACAACTTGTCAACATTTGAAGGGTTTTTGTATCATTTTTCTCACTATTATTATTAATAATAAAATAATTGTTTCTTATCGAAAAAATATCTGCAGATGTTGCATATTTTGTTATATGGGTCCCTGATAAACATCCCATTCTAATACATTCTTCTGTCACTTCTACTTGCTTATTTGGAAATTATCCGTTATACTTACCACGCATCCTTTTGTAAACAGATTATGCAGTAAAAGAGAAACCACTGTTGGCTGAGGACATGCAAGGAGGACCAGACTTTATTGTCCTGAAAAATCTGGACATTGACAGTATTCGTATTATTGGTAGCGTCCTTGGCCAGAGTATTGCTCTGGATCATTTTGTGTCACAGGTAATGTCATATAAGGTATCTGAAAAATTGTTGTGCATCTAATGTGAGCTATTTAGTGGATAAAATGACATAGATTTGTTTTGAGGCATCCATACGATGGATTCCAGGTTTTTTTTTAATGCTTGAACCAATTTAACATAAGTATTGAGGATGTGCATTGCCTGCGTTACCATTGCTTATATGATATAACCTTTATTGCTTGAAAGATATGCTATTTGACAAATTAGTTCTGCTATAAATTAAAATTTTATATATGGATAGGACAATAATCTCTCACCCATTTTTAGGTTGATGGAATGGTTGAAGAGTTCACAGACATAAATCGTGGAATGGAGAAAAGTGGTACTTTCACAATGGATAGGAAGAAGCTCTTTCAACTAGTTGGGAAGGCTAATTCAAATCTAGCTGATGTGATTCTTAAAGTCGGTCTTTTTGACAGGTAATAGCTCTATAGATGCAAAGTGCTTTCCCTGTGCATGGTACTTCAAGATGTGGAAGAATTTTCTCGGCTCATTGTCTACTACAATATGGTGTATATATGCTTGTTTTTATGATTTATTATTTCAAACTGAAGAACCTCTAGATGATTCATATCTTGAATAAAGGTTAGAGAGAGTTGTTGGTTAATCCAAAGTTCACCTCAAGGGATAAAAGTTGGATTTTTGAGGTTTGAAAGTTATAAATTGCAACCATCATTTTCGTATATGAGAGATTAGTGTTTTGGTATGTAGAAGTGGAAAAAAAGAGGAGCTACAATCTGCCAGAAGGGCTAAAGAAAATAATTTGCCCATTATGTTGATAGCATCAGATGGCTAAGCTGGTAAAATATTTTGGAGGCTGTTCAGAGTCATGGTTATTAGTTTTTGCTCAGTCTTGAACGCCTTCTTATGTGTAATGGAAGATGTTGCCTAGTCTTATTAGTTGGTTAGACAGTGATGACCCAAAATTTATATTTATGTTAGTTTTAATTATGATCTTTTTACCATATTTTTCCACTTAAGCAACTATATACTACCTGAAGGTTCTCAAATTTGTCATGCTCTACATTGTTCAGATCAGAAATTGCTTGGAGAGATGCAAAATATGCTCAGATACTTGAGTACCTGCGGGAGGAATACGAGGTCACGCAACGTTTTGGAAACCTTGATTTCAAACTGAAGTTTGTGGAGGTACTTCTGTCTCTTCAGTCTTTCCTACTATGAATCTTGCAGTTGATTCCTGTTTAACATTCAAACTCATTTACTCCAAAATCTTAAATGGTAGCGCGGCATAATTTAGAGCTACAAGAGGGACGAGGGTTGACTCAATGATTCGGTGAGGAAGTCTAGGCAATGACTGGAAGATAATAATTTATTGTATTCCCCTATGGTTTAGGTATATGGCCATTAAGCCCTTTGTGCATAAAAAATAACAGCATCACCCCAGTGTTGATGGCTTAAAGGACATCTATCAGTTTTTATTGAACTAAAAAAATGGTACATAATAATACATCAAACTGAGCTATATACTCTCTTGACCTTTATTTTTCCCCACCCTTTCTTGTTTCTCCTTTTCTTAGTCCTTCCTTAACCACTCACCTACCTACTACCACCTTCTCGTGCACATGACTGCCACTGTAAACAAAACACTCCTTTCTTCCATATTTCATACCCTTTCCCTCTTTAAAGAGGGGTAAAAAAACTATCACCACCACAATTAAGTAAAACCACCAACATCGCTAATACAACTGCTTTATCCCAACCATAAAACCCATCATAATCACCCTCGAGCATATCCTCGACCAATATTTTCATATCCCCCCCCCCCCCTCTCTCTCTCTGTCTCTCTCTTGCAATCAAATACCACCACTCACCCACCACCAGCAGTTTTTATTACATGTTAAGCCAATCAAATCCAAATGTAAATGAATCACATAACTTTATTATTCACTAAGCCTCCACCACCGATCTTCATTCTCATTTGCACCATGTATGTGTACATCTATATGCCCAAATTTACGAATATACCAGTAATTGCAGTGGTGATGATGGTTAGAATGTAGACATTGTTGAGAGAAAAAGTGGAAGTAGGTGGGTTTTCAGAGATTGTCGTGTTGGCAGTATTGTATATAAACGTAGAACAATGGATTTTCTAGGATTATATGGGAAGGTTGTTTTCATGCACTATATTGATTACCCTTTTACGATTAGTGTAATGAGATAGAAACTAGTAACATGTTTGTGGGACTACTTGGGTAATTGGGTTATTAGAACTAGACGAGTGTAACTGGGAGTTTCCTTTTTTTTTGCAGCACAACATTCATTTTCTTCAAGAAGTACTCCAAAACCGAAAGTCAGATCTATTGGAATGGTGCATCATAGTCTTGTTGAGCATTGAGAATGTTATTTCAATATACGAGATTGTTCGAGGATCTACTGCAACGTGAATTGTGAGGTAGACAGAGAAATTTTGACAGCAAATAAACTGGCTGCAGCAAAGAATACGATCACATGATGAGAACAAAGCGACTCATCTTATATCAGTAATTCTATTGGTCTTTTTTGGGGTTCATAATAGCTTTATTCTTTGAAATTTTCTTGTTACTTTCCTCGATCAAAAGGGAGGAAATTTAGAAAGGAAGCTCAAACCCAAATTGTTGTAACAGTTAGCATTTAGCACAACTAAACAGGGATCAATGTCACTAATTATTGATGATAAATGACATATATGATGAACACCATGTCATACAAGCATTATTTTCTTAAATGTTACACTGTTTCAATGGCACTCCCACAACCTAATCTGTCCAGAAAGGAAGATAATCAGTGATAGCCAGAAGGGTTGATATAAGGAGATTGATGAGGTGTTCGATCCATAGGCCAGCCCCACATCGTCTGGTTAGAGAGGTTGTGGCACTATATTCGTAAATACTGTGTCTAAATTACTATTATGCATTATAAAACCATGGTGTAATTCAAATCGAACAATATCACGTGCAGTTGGGCAAAGTCATTACAGGTCACAAGCGACTGCTAGATTACATAACCAGACAGCTCACAGATTTAAATGCTCATTACAGGCAATGTGGGGCAGTTCACCACCTTAGTTGAACATTTGGATAATAAATCTGCAAATAGGATATTACGATCCAAACTTGTGGTTCAAGTTACCTTAGTCTTGATAACCAATATCATGGTCCAAACTGGTTTGTTGACCTCCAAAGCATGCACAGAACTGAAATGACTGTGGCGTTGAAGTGTGTGGGATCATAATTTTGCAACCATTCAAAAAGCATAATAATCATCCTCATTGTGCAAAGAGGAAAATGTTTTTTTCCCTTTTTGCAAGAGGGGGAGGGAGACAGAAAGGAGGCGGGAGAGGGGAGGGGGGTGGAAGGAATACTATGGCCTATAATGTTTAAACTGGTCACTAAATAAGGTCATTCGCCCTGCATAATGCGATAATCTTATATTTGGATCTTAAAATTCTTGAACTCTAATGGCATCGCGAGGCATGTCATATACATCCTTTGGCCTTGATTTCTTCACCCCAGCCGTGAACCAGACCTTATCAGATTTATAACCCTCCACAGCCACATTGGTGACTTTAACCCATACTAAGACCTTTGTCTTCATTCCTTCTATACCTGTGAGCTTTCCTCTCATAAGAATGGCTTTTACCCGAGGGGCATACCTTATCATGGAGGAATCTTTGAAGCTGACCTCGCATGCAGAGGGCAAGTATACAGTCAGCTTAGCCTTTGACTCATCAAACTCGTAACATGTTATGTTCTGGGGGAACAGGCCAGGAGGCAAGTTGTATTCTCGAAGGAGATCTGGCAAGGTTTTGAGTGGTTTTCCTACAAAAGACAGAACAAAAAGGTCACAATCTTGTGCTTAGCATGCACGTACTATTTCAGAAATTAGAAGCCAATTATAAGAGAACACAACAATTAATGAAATTTATGAAGTTTATCTTTGCTTTGCACTGATCAAAACTACCCCAAATCTTACCTCAAATCCATTTGAAAAAATTAAATATAACTCTTGCGTGTCTGTGTAGTAACTACAAGTAAGAAAATTGTATAATATAAAGTTGCGTTGAAATAAATATTAATATTATTCTATGAAAAATGTTGACAGCTGCAGAGAAAGGGAACAAAAACTATCTAAACAATATATCCATGTACACNCACCCACCACCAGCAGTTTTTATTACATGTTAAGCCAATCAAATCCAAATGTAAATGAATCACATAACTTTATTATTCACTAAGCCTCCACCACCGATCTTCATTCTCATTTGCACCATGTATGTGTACATCTATATGCCCAAATTTACGAATATACCAGTAATTGCAGTGGTGATGATGGTTAGAATGTAGACATTGTTGAGAGAAAAAGTGGAAGTAGGTGGGTTTTCAGAGATTGTCGTGTTGGCAGTATTGTATATAAACGTAGAACAATGGATTTTCTAGGATTATATGGGAAGGTTGTTTTCATGCACTATATTGATTACCCTTTTACGATTAGTGTAATGAGATAGAAACTAGTAACATGTTTGTGGGACTACTTGGGTAATTGGGTTATTAGAACTAGACGAGTGTAACTGGGAGTTTCCTTTTTTTTTGCAGCACAACATTCATTTTCTTCAAGAAGTACTCCAAAACCGAAAGTCAGATCTATTGGAATGGTGCATCATAGTCTTGTTGAGCATTGAGAATGTTATTTCAATATACGAGATTGTTCGAGGATCTACTGCAACGTGAATTGTGAGGTAGACAGAGAAATTTTGACAGCAAATAAACTGGCTGCAGCAAAGAATACGATCACATGATGAGAACAAAGCGACTCATCTTATATCAGTAATTCTATTGGTCTTTTTTGGGGTTCATAATAGCTTTATTCTTTGAAATTTTCTTGTTACTTTCCTCGATCAAAAGGGAGGAAATTTAGAAAGGAAGCTCAAACCCAAATTGTTGTAACAGTTAGCATTTAGCACAACTAAACAGGGATCAATGTCACTAATTATTGATGATAAATGACATATATGATGAACACCATGTCATACAAGCATTATTTTCTTAAATGTTACACTGTTTCAATGGCACTCCCACAACCTAATCTGTCCAGAAAGGAAGATAATCAGTGATAGCCAGAAGGGTTGATATAAGGAGATTGATGAGGTGTTCGATCCATAGGCCAGCCCCACATCGTCTGGTTAGAGAGGTTGTGGTACTATATTCGTAAATACTGTGTCTAAATTACTATTATGCATTATAAAACCATGGTGTAATTCAAATCGAACAATATCACGTGCAGTTGGGCAAAGTCATTACAGGTCACAAGCGACTGCTAGATTACATAACCAGACAGCTCACAGATTTAAATGCTCATTACAGGCAATGTGGGGCAGTTCACCACCTTAGTTGAACATTTGGATAATAAATCTGCAAATAGGATATTACGATCCAAACTTGTGGTTCAAGTTACCTTAGTCTTGATAACCAATATCATGGTCCAAACTGGTTTGTTGACCTCCAAAGCATGCACAGAACTGAAATGACTGTGGCGTTGAAGTGTGTGGGATCATAATTGGGATCATAATTTTGCAACCATTCAAAAAGCATAATAATCATCCTCATTGTGCAAAGAGGAAAATGTTTTTTTCCCTTTTTGCAAGAGGGGGAGGGAGACAGAAAGGAGGCGGGAGAGGGGANAAACGTAGAACAATGGATTTTCTAGGATTATATGGGAAGGTTGTTTTCATGCACTATATTGATTACCCTTTTACGATTAGTGTAATGAGATAGAAACTAGTAACATGTTTGTGGGACTACTTGGGTAATTGGGTTATTAGAACTAGACGAGTGTAACTGGGAGTTTCCTTTTTTTTTGCAGCACAACATTCATTTTCTTCAAGAAGTACTCCAAAACCGAAAGTCAGATCTATTGGAATGGTGCATCATAGTCTTGTTGAGCATTGAGAATGTTATTTCAATATACGAGATTGTTCGAGGATCTACTGCAACGTGAATTGTGAGGTAGACAGAGAAATTTTGACAGCAAATAAACTGGCTGCAGCAAAGAATACGATCACATGATGAGAACAAAGCGACTCATCTTATATCAGTAATTCTATTGGTCTTTTTTGGGGTTCATAATAGCTTTATTCTTTGAAATTTTCTTGTTACTTTCCTCGATCAAAAGGGAGGAAATTTAGAAAGGAAGCTCAAACCCAAATTGTTGTAACAGTTAGCATTTAGCACAACTAAACAGGGATCAATGTCACTAATTATTGATGATAAATGACATATATGATGAACACCATGTCATACAAGCATTATTTTCTTAAATGTTACACTGTTTCAATGGCACTCCCACAACCTAATCTGTCCAGAAAGGAAGATAATCAGTGATAGCCAGAAGGGTTGATATAAGGAGATTGATGAGGTGTTCGATCCATAGGCCAGCCCCACATCGTCTGGTTAGAGAGGTTGTGGCACTATATTCGTAAATACTGTGTCTAAATTACTATTATGCATTATAAAACCATGGTGTAATTCAAATCGAACAATATCACGTGCAGTTGGGCAAAGTCATTACAGGTCACAAGCGACTGCTAGATTACATAACCAGACAGCTCACAGATTTAAATGCTCATTACAGGCAATGTGGGGCAGTTCACCACCTTAGTTGAACATTTGGATAATAAATCTGCAAATAGGATATTACGATCCAAACTTGTGGTTCAAGTTACCTTAGTCTTGATAACCAATATCATGGTCCAAACTGGTTTGTTGACCTCCAAAGCATGCACAGAACTGAAATGACTGTGGCGTTGAAGTGTGTGGGATCATAATTGGGATCATAATTTTGCAACCATTCAAAAAGCATAATAATCATCCTCATTGTGCAAAGAGGAAAATGTTTTTTTCCCTTTTTGCAAGAGGGGGAGGGAGACAGAAAGGAGGCGGGAGAGGGGAGGGGGGTGGAAGGAATACTATGGCCTATAATGTTTAAACTGGTCACTAAATAAGGTCATTCGCCCTGCATAATGCGATAATCTTATATTTGGATCTTAAAATTCTTGAACTCTAATGGCATCGCGAGGCATGTCATATACATCCTTTGGCCTTGATTTCTTCACCCCAGCCGTGAACCAGACCTTATCAGATTTATAACCCTCCACAGCCACATTGGTGACTTTAACCCATACTAAGACCTTTGTCTTCATTCCTTCTATACCTGTGAGCTTTCCTCTCATAAGAATGGCTTTTACCCGAGGGGCATACCTTATCATGGAGGAATCTTTGAAGCTGACCTCGCATGCAGAGGGCAAGTATACAGTCAGCTTAGCCTTTGACTCATCAAACTCGTAACATGTTATGTTCTGGGGGAACAGGCCAGGAGGCAAGTTGTATTCTCGAAGGAGATCTGGCAAGGTTTTGAGTGGTTTTCCTACAAAAGACAGAACAAAAAGGTCACAATCTTGTGCTTAGCATGCACGTACTATTTCAGAAATTAGAAGCCAATTATAAGAGAACACAACAATTAATGAAATTTATGAAGTTTATCTTTGCTTTGCACTGATCAAAACTACCCCAAATCTAACCTCAAATCCATTTGAAAAAATTAAATATAACTCTTGCGTGTCTGTGTAGTAACTACAAGTAAGAAAAATGTATAATATAAAGTTGGTTTGAAATAAATATTAATAATATTCTATGAAAAAAGTTGACAGCTGCAGAGAAAGGGAACAAAAACTATCTAAACAATATATCCATGTACACCTCAATGCATGCTAACCTATAGATGCACCCTCTCGATATACCTATATAAAGTGAGCATATCATCAAATCCTTAAAAAGAGTAGTTAGTCTTTCTACTCAAGTCCCCTTTGGCCAATTTTTCATGTTGTCTTGCAACCTCAATTTGCAACCGTTTTGGCCTTACATTTGGATGAGTGCATCTACTTGTCCTTCTATTCCACTTCTTGTTCCAGCACGCTCACTTCCATCTTCTCTAATGGTCATTTTTTTCATGCTCATATATAATCTTGTGCCATTTGCTTCTCTATCTCATCCATTGCACTTTAATTCTGCAAAATAAGAGTGGAAAACAAATGCCTCTCCCTAACTCCTTTCCCCAACGAAAACGAATGACCAACTCCGAATTAGCATCTTTTGGCAATTAAATCAACCATTTCCAAGTCCAAAAAAGTAGATCCTTTTCCATTTTTGACTGATATTTAGACTTTTCTAGAATCTAAACCATTTTTTTTGCTGAAAGCAGAATATCCTTACCCCATCTTCTAATATAGCAGTAATACACAAACATAAAGAAACAACCACCTAGTTTTGTTTCAGCTCAGATTACATTTCGCACTTCAATTTGTGATCTTCTAACTTACACTCTGGATTATGCTTGTGCTAACTTTGTTACTTGAACAACAACAACTAATAAAATGATACAAGAATCACTAAAACCTCAGTGTAGTACAAATCTAGTATCAATAAAAAGTAAAAACTAAAACAAGCACAATTGACAACCATGAAATTCATTACATGTCCCCCCAACAAGGATTATAAATTTATGGAAAATACGTCAAAGAAGTTGAGTACTTTAAAATGGACAATAAGGATGTAATTGACGGCCCTATTGATCCCTAGGTCCTAACAATAAAATATAACAGAATACCAGAAGCAAATGATGATTGAATTGATCCCATATATAATCCTCATTTGCCAGAGAACTGTTACAAATTCTATAACACCTTCAAGACTACCATATCTGATAAAAGGATTCCATCAAGAGTTGGAGCATCATCCCACTGTCAATGATAATTTAGAGCATATTGAATCATAGATGACGAAATGCATTACCACCCATCCAACAATTGAATACATAAAAGTATGGACAACAAATTTTGATGGGTAGGCATGAAACAATTTTTTTCCTTGTCTTCTTGAGGAGCTTTAAGTACCTAAAACGAATTCTGAGAGCATGATGGGTCCAATATAGCACAACCACCCCACAATTAATCTGTGGCATAAANATAAAATGATACAAGAATCACTAAAACCTCAGTGTAGTACAAATCTAGTATCAATAAAAAGTAAAAACTAAAACAAGCACAATTGACAACCATGAAATTCATTACATGTCCCCCCAACAAGGATTATAAATTTATGGAAAATACGTCAAAGAAGTTGAGTACTTTAAAATGGACAATAAGGATGTAATTGACGGCCCTATTGATCCCTAGGTCCTAACAATAAAATATAACAGAATACCAGAAGCAAATGATGATTGAATTGATCCCATATATCATCCTCATTTGCCAGAGAACTGTTACAAATTCTATAACACCTTCAAGACTACCATATCTGATAAAAGGATTCCATCAAGAGTTGGAGCATCATCCCACTGTCAATGATAATTTAGAGCATATTGAATCATAGATGACGAAATGCATTACCACCCATCCAACAATTGAATACATAAAAGTATGGACAACAAATTTTGATGGGTAGGCATGAAACAATTTTTTTCCTTGTCTTCTTGAGGAGCTTTAAGTACCTAAAACGAATTCTGAGAGCATGATGGGTCCAATATAGCACAACCACCCCACAATTAATCTGTGGCATAAATTTCTATGTAAATATAATTCCCTCACCTTTTAGCTTGTTAAATATCCATTTTGCTTTCTCTTCAACCGTATTTGAGAAAGTCTGCGAGTAAAAGCAACCTTCAGTACAGTAATATAATCAAATTCTTTGCAAAGGGTGCACACACTATTCTCTTCCTAATTGGAACCATATAATTTTTTCAAATGCTTTAAACTATATGTCAAAATCAATTGCGCAGTTCAGGTCAAATCTAAATTAGTTATAAATTATTTTAAGGCGCATCCCGCCATGGCCTTCCATTTTATGCGCCTATATGCATGCAAGATGTATTGGGAGTACAAAAAGAATCTTTTTTTTTACAGTTGTATCTACTGTGATGTGACAAGAAAGCACTCTTAGTTCAGTTCGGTGGAACGTGGATCTCAAAACCCGATGTCGAAGGTTCAAATCCTACGGTGTTAGATTCCGAATCAACAAACCCCATTACCGAGATATGACAACTCTTTTTGAAAGTCAATAGTAATAAGAACTTTGTCTTCTAACTTCATTCATAAATAATGGAAGGCCATGNCCATCCCATTGTCAATGATAATTTAGCGCATATTGAATCATAGATGACGAAATGCATTACCACCCATCCAACAGGTGAATACATAAAAGTATGGGCAACAAATTTTGCTGGGTAGGAATGAAACAATTTTTTTCCTTGCCTTCTTGAGGAGCATTAAGTACCTAAAACGAATTCCGAGAGCATGATGGGTCCAATATAGCACAACCACCCCACAATTAATCTGTGGCATAAATTTCTATGTAAATATAATTCCCTCACCTTTTAGCTTGTTAAATATCCATTTTGCTTTCTCTTCAACCGTATTTGAGAAAGTCTGCGAGTAAAAGCAACCTTCAGTACAGTAATATAATCAAATTCTTTGCAAAGGGTGCACACACTATTCTCTTCCTAATTGGAACCATATAATTTTTTCAAATGCTTTAAACTATATGTCAAAATCAATTGGGCAGTTCAGGTCAAGTCTAAATTAGTTATAAATTATTTTAAGGCGCATCCCGCCATGGCCTTCCATTTTATGAGCCTATATGCATGCAAGATGTATTGGGAGTACAAAAAGAATCTTTTTTTTTACAGTTGTATCTACTGTGATGTGACAAGAAAGCGCTCTTAGTTCAGTTCGGTGGAACGTGGGTCTCAAAACCCGATGTCGTAGGTTCAAATCCTACGGTGTTAGATTCCGAATCAACAAACCCCATTACCGAGATATGACAACTCTTTTTGAAAATCAATAGTAATAAGAACTTTGTCTTCTAACTTCATTCATAAATAATGGAAGGCCATGCCAGGTAATTGAATTACACATACTTCCATTTCATCAATTCTAATCCAAAAATTCACATAAAATTTAGTCCAAGCTGAGATGAATAATTAAAAAACAAAATCAAAGTTCTACAAAGAAATGAGCCAAATTGGAGTCTTCTACAAAGAAATGAGCCAAATTGGAGTCTTTGGAGCAACCACATTATATCCAAATCCCCAAGATCTAAGCCATGACTAATAGAGTTCATTACCTACACATCTTACAATAAAAATTCTCCATTTGCCTATTTTTTGCCCCTCAAGGCATTCAGAAACAGTCATATATAAAGAAACCCACTTCATTTTCCATTTTTTTTCTTGTGAATAATCAACAGATCTCACAATCTAGACCCAATTCCAGATGTTCAACACATGACTAACACATTATCATCATGTGGGTAAGATTCAAATAAGCCACATTACCAACTAAACATGACCAAAACTTTACCAAAGAGTCTGTTATATTAACGAAACAATGAAAATCATAGAAGTGAAGAAGGAGAAAAAAAGGAAAGCTAAATGGATACATACAGTGAGGTCTTCAGAGATATTGCTGAACTCTTCCTTGGCTTTTTTGGAAATCCAATAGCTCCCAGCTTTCAAGCTCCCAACTTTTNGTTATATCCAAATCCCCAAGATCTAAGCCATGACTAATAGAGTTCATTACCTACCCATCTTACAATAAAAATTCCCTATTTGCCTATTTTTTGCCCCTCAAGGCATTCAAAAACAGTCATATATAAAGAAACCCACTTCATTTTCCACTTTTTTTCTTGTGAATAATCAACAGATCTCACAATCTAGACCCAATTCCAGATGTTCAACACATGACTAACACATTTTCATCATGTGGGTAAGATTCAAATAAGCCACATTACCAACCAAACATGACCAAAACTTTACCAAAGAGTCTGTTATATTAAGGAAACAATGAAAATCATTGAAGTGAAGAAAGAGAAAAAAAGGAAAGCTAAATGGATACATACAGTGAGGTCTTCAGAGATATTGCTGAATTCTTCCTTGGCTTTTTTGGAAATCCAATAGCTCCCAGCTTTCAAGCTCCCAACTTTTACCAAAGCTTTCTCCATTTCCTTCTCTCTCTCTCTGTGTGTTTTGGCGAGGCAACGAGAGTGAGCTGTGCTTTAGGTTCAATGCAGTCGCACTCCTTGCCCACACCGATTCTCCAAATGTGAGCAAAGAGACAAACATGCTGCGGGGCAGCTGTGCTTAAAATCGGCGCTCACTGTTCCCAAAAAAGGAATTTTGAATATTAATAAAGGGCAAACCAGTAACTTAACGGGTGAAGCGAATAATAAAAACATTATTACACGTGTTATATTTTTATTGGACAAAAAATAGAATTTCATACAAAAATATTATTTTTCTATATGGACAGCTTGTTTGCAGAAATTTCATACGCTGCCCATGGATCAATATCGTTATTTTCATTTTTGTTTCTGTTTTATTATTTTTTTAATTTATTGTTGTTCGTATCAAAATATGATTTCTCTTTAATACACACACACANCCAAAAAAGGAATTTTGAATATTAATAAGGGCAAACCAGTAACTTAAAGGGTGAAGTGAATAATAAAAACATTATTACACGTGTTATATTTTTATTGGACAAAAAATAGAATTTCATACAAAAATATTATTTTTCTATATGGACAGCTTGTTTGCAGAAATTTCATACGCTGCCCATGGATCAATATCGTTATTTTCATTTTTGTTTCTGTTTTATTATTTTTTTAATTTATTGTTGTTCGTATCAAAATATGATTTCTCTTTAATACACACACACACACACACACACACACATATATATATATATATATATATATATAATGTTTGGCCATGTTTTTATGTAAGTAACCACAAATTAATAAAAATATATTTGAAAATGAGTTATAGAGAGAGAATAAATTAAAAAACAATATTTTGGTATAAAATTCTACTACCAATATTGTTTCTAAAAATGTATAACAGTGATATCCCCTCGACATTTTTTTTTTGGTTCAATGGTCGGTCAAGAGTACTCAGGTCAGTTTATGCGTACCTCAACTAATTCTCTCGTTGGTCTGGTTAAAAATAAATTATCCACATTAAAACTAGAGTATTCGTAAGGGATAAATTTCTCATAATTTGGCTTTAATAAATTATCAAAATTCAAATTCTAGACGTCTGAATTTATAATTCATTTCTATTAGCACTTGAATTACCTCTTGGATTATGTTAGAAATTGTTAGCCAACAAAATTTACATTGTTATTAGCTTTTAATTTTACCATTAGATATCATTTGCATTTAGAGGATAACTTCTATCTAAATTGGGCTATTCCTATTCAATCCCATTATCCACCTTTGAATTCCCCTAGATTCTCATTGTTCGATTGTTTGGAGCCAACTAGATCCTCTAAAGATTGGTCTTATACAAATTCATGACTTTGGTTATAATCATACTAATAAACAAAAAACTAGCATTTAAAGTTTTAACCCATTTTAAGTGGTTGGTCCGTTGGCAAAAATTCAAATTTCTTAGTCTAATATTTGACAGTTTAATAGAACTATCCTTACTATTCAGTCACACGGTAAAATTTTAATTTCGATTCCAACATAAGTGTAATAAAATATATTATAATAATTGTGTGATACTGACAAATAATACTCAAAAACTCAAGTGATTTATTTATATATCTATTTTTTTAAAAATCAAATCAAACAAACGGGTCATTCCATGGAGCTTTTAAAGAATTTTAGAAGAAGAATGCCAACGATTGAAAAGAAAGAATCTAGAAAAGTGAATGATGATAAAGCACAATAGACTCATTTTTCCTAAGAATATGTTCTCACTTTAATAATATCACAGATCCCATTGCACATGGTGGGTCACGATCATGCATTTTCCAGCTCAAAAGTAAGAACTATGGCGCCTGTGCATTGGATTTGAGGAGAACTTTTTTATTTTTTGTCCTTCCATTCAAATAGAGGTAGGAGCAACAGGTAAAAAATTTATTTTTTTATATGCTTACACTACAGGGGAGGGGGAGAGAGAGAAGCCAGAGAAGGGAATTGAACTTTCAACGTGCCAATCCATTACGAAAGACTAAAACCGTTCAGGAAAGACTTTAATCCTGTACAACAAGTAATTGAAGAAAGCATATTTAGAGGGGCCAAAATTCTCATCTCAATCCAAATTGGGAGAGTGGAGAGTTATTGTCTGTTTGGCAGTCTGAAATATTGTCCTCACCGCATCACACAGACACAATGCTCCCACTGCGGCGAGGTTTAGAGAGGGCCAGTTGTATACAACCTTATCCCAACATGTACATAGGTTGTTTTCATTACTCGAAGCCTTGAAAATAAGATCACAGTAGAGCATAATATACAATCCATACAGAACAACTTGAAATTGCAGTTATATTTTTAAATCACAGTTCTAATTCTCACAGCTGAGAGATAAGAAGTTATTGAACCCAAGTGGCTGGACAGATGATAAATATTGACTCTCTTGTCTAATCCAATCTTCTCAACAAGTATTCCACCTGGACCTCCTTTGTCAAAGGCATGATCCAATCTCCATATAGATTGGCTACTAAACTTGGCTTGATCTTGTATACTGGATCAATGGCATCTATCTCTTGGTTGAATCCCACCTCCTGGCCATATGTTTTGGCTTTCATATTGACTCTCTCCTTAATTGCTTCTTCTACATTGTAATGGGTTAGGAGTTCCATGAGTTGAGCCCTGTCCTGTAAGAGATTGNTTTTTGGTTCAATGGTTGGTCAAGAGTACTCAGATCAGTTTATACGTACTTTAACTAATTCTTTCATTGGTCTGGTTAAAAGCAAATTATTCATATCAAAACTAGAGTATTCGTAAGGGATAAATCTCTCATAATTTGGCTTTAATAAATTATCAAAATTCAAATTCAAGACGTCTGAATTTACAATTCATTTCTATTAGCACTTGAATTACCTCTTGGATTATGTTAGAAATTGTTAGCCAACAAAATTTACATTGTTATTAGCTTTTAATTTTACCATTAGATATCATTTGCATTTAGAGGATAACTTCTATCTAAATTGGGCTATTCCTATTCAATCCCATTATCCACCTTTGAATTCCCCTAGATTCTCATTGTTCGATTGTTTGGAGCCAACTAGATCCTCTAAAGATTGGTCTTATACAAATTCATGACTTTGGTTATAATCATACTAATAAACAAAAAACTAGCATTTAAAGTTTTAACCCATTTTAAGTGGTCGGTCCGTTGGCAAAAATTCAAATTTCTTAGTCTAATATTTGACAGTTTAATAGAACTATCCTTACTATTCAGTCACACGGTAAAATTTTAATTTCGATTCCAACATAAGTGTAATAAAATATATTATAATAATTGTGTGATACTGACAAATAATACTCAAAAACTCAAGTGATTTATTTATATATCTATTTTTTTAAAAATCAAATCAAACAAACGGGTCATTCCATGGAGCTTTTAAAGAATTTTAGAAGAAGAATGCCAACGATTGAAAAGAAAGAATCTAGAAAAGTGAATGATGATAAAGCACAATAGACTCATTTTTCCTAAGAATATGTTCTCACTTTAATAATATCACAGATCCCATTGCACATGGTGGGTCACGATCATGCATTTTCCAGCTCAAAAGTAAGAACTATGGCGCCTGTGCATTGGATTTGAGGAGAACTTTTTTATTTTTTGTCCTTCCATTCAAATAGAGGTAGGAGCAACAGGTAAAAAATTTATTTTTTTATATGCTTACACTACAGGGGAGGGGGAGAGAGAGAAGCCAGAGAAGGGAATTGAACTTTCAACGTGCCAATCCATTACGAAAGACTAAAACCGTTCAGGAAAGACTTTAATCCTGTACAACAAGTAATTGAAGAAAGCATATTTAGAGGGGCCAAAATTCTCATCTCAATCCAAATTGGGAGAGTGGAGAGTTATTGTCTGTTTGGCAGTCTGAAATATTGTCCTCACCGCATCACACAGACACAATGCTCCCACTGCGGCGAGGTTTAGAGAGGGCCAGTTGTATACAACCTTATCCCAACATGTACATAGGTTGTTTTCATTACTCGAAGCCTTGAAAATAAGATCACAGTAGAGCATAATATACAATCCATACAGAACAACTTGAAATTGCAGTTATATTTTTAAATCACAGTTCTAATTCTCACAGCTGAGAGATAAGAAGTTATTGAACCCAAGTGGCTGGACAGATGATAAATATTGACTCTCTTGTCTAATCCAATCTTCTCAACAAGTATTCCACCTGGACCTCCTTTGTCAAAGGCATGATCCAATCTCCATATAGATTGGCTACTAAACTTGGCTTGATCTTGTATACTGGATCAATGGCATCTATCTCTTGGTTGAATCCCACCTCCTGGCCATATGTTTTGGCTTTCATATTGACTCTCTCCTTAATTGCTTCTTCTACATTGTAATGGGTTAGGAGTTCCATGAGTTGAGCCCTGTCCTGTAAGAGATTGCACCACACGAGGAAAACAGAACAAACCAAAGAGAAGACATATTGTCGGAAACATGAATGCTGCAAATATTAAAAAAAAAATTAATAATACACAAATCTGAAGGAGTGAGTATACCTGCACTCTAATGGCATCCTCATAGCTAGCAGGCGATTCTCGAAATTTTGCCTCCGCTATAAATTTACCATAATGAATCCTCTTTGAGAGAGCCTGCAACCATAACAAAGAAAAAATAAGATCCCCTCAAAGACATAGAGATGCAGAGGTGTCTAAGGTACAAAACCTGCCATGATGGAAATTACAATAATAATGATTGTTTCAATGTAAAATAGAAACATGCGAAAATAACAAATGTAACTTAGAAAGCAAATCAAAAAATTGTGGGAAATCAGGATGCCGCTCCTTAATGCCAAGTTGCCATCAAAATCCTAAAATCTATTTACAGATGCAGTTTTCAGTTGTACAAATGACTATCTTTCACCGTACATGTGCAATTAATTAGTAGGCCTCCTAAAAGATCCCCTATATACATTTTAACAGGTTTAATAATTGACCCTCAATTCTTGTGTGTCATATCATTAAATGCCTGAATACATATTATATCAACATGCTACCTAACCTGGATCCATTGCCATTATCAAGTTTCAGTTTTTTTCTTTTTTTTTTTTTGGTTGAGTGTGTGTGTTGGGGTGGTTTTTTTTTTTTTTTTTTGGGGGGGGGGAGCAATACTTACTTCAACATTTCCATTTTCTCTCAAGTTAGTAATGCTAAAGGGGAAATGAAACCTGTTGAAGGCTCATTAAAGATGGAGTTCTTACACATAACCCCACAACCTCTCATATTGGGATCTTTTTTAGCAAAATAAAGAAAAGTCACCAGAATCAATTCCACTTACTATTGCTTTCTATTGAGCTGCCATCTACATGAAATCACTGGGATTTTTTTTTTTGTCTTGAAGACCTCCCCACCATAATTCAACATTTCTTCATTTATTCCTCCTTTTTGCCAAAAAAAGACTACTATCATTCACGACAAACAACCTCTATACAAGCTACAGTAAAACATTGTCCTTAGCAACAAAGCTTGAAACTTCAGTAATGTCTGGAGGCATTATTTTATTCTTCAGAAAAGGATCCGAAATCCTACTGATTGCTGAAATTTCAACCACACAACGCAGCAACTCGAAATCATTCAGCAAGGAAGGAAATCATTTGTTTGTCACATTCATTCTCAAGCAAACAGGTCTGTATGAGGCATCCTTAAGTTAACCAATTGCCACAGAAAAATTCTACGACCTTCAGCAAGATACAATTGAATATCAGAAATCTTGTTTTTCAAAATTTCACTTAATCCAAAAGCCACACAGGGATAAAAAAGTAAAGAACATACAGAAACCAACCATTTAACGTATATAATTCCTACACACTCACAAAAATTGGAAAACAAAAGTAATTTTATGCTTGGAATAAACACCTTAAATTTAATGAAAGTCAATTATAGAAGTAATCCACCTAATTACAGCAATATTTTTCACTAATCATTTCATTTTACTGAAAAAATGATTAATTTCTTCTGAAGAATATTGGCTCAATGCCATACCTGCAAGCAAATTGTGTCACAAACAGCAGCAGATCCACAATTACCATCATCTCCTGCTTTTACCACTCTTGGAAGAATATCCCTAAAGTACATATTCCAAACCTTGGTGTTTATATTGATTGAATGAGCACATGGATGGAGAACCTGTTGACACAATGGTATAAGGAGGGTGTCAGGTGACGGGGCAAATATCTTAGCCTCAAGGCATCATCTATCTTCAAACATGATAGAGAAAAACAGCTCATCATATTCGGTCAAATGGAGAATTAGGTAAGGGTAACCAACAATATGGGCAAGTGATATTAGCCTGAAATCATACATTACTACTCATTTTCATGGTGAAGTAGCAAGCAGGAGATGTTGAATGGAAATCAAATCATTTCCAAAATTTAAAACAGAGATTCAATGTGATACAAGCTACAACTAAATGGCTGTTGGTACAAACTGATGATACTACAACTCAAAACATTACTGACTTAGAGTTGCCTGCCAATGTTTCCAAGTTGAAAACATGAAAAAGCAGCACACTGTGGTCTAGTATTGGGTAACCTAAAAGCTAGAAATACCGCTTTTCTTGGTAAATGGCTATGGAGATTCACCATTGAGCACAATAGTCTTTGGCATTTAATGATCAAAAGCAAATATGAGATTCATGATAATGGGTGGGATTCTAATGTGAGTGAGACATGTTATTCTCATTGCCCTTGGAAGTTAATTTCTGAAGGGAGTGTTCCTTTTTTCACAAAACCGCAAATATGTTCTTGGTAATGGGGAGAAGATTTGTTTCTAGAAAGATTTATTTATTTTTTTGGGAGGGGGGATCATTTGCATCTTTATTTCCTCGTTTATATCGATTGTCTAGATCTCATAACTCATCCATCATTTGTATGGTATTCTCTTTTTCCCCCAATATTAGTTAAAACTTTAACTTTTTTAGAAACTTGAGGGACAAAGAAGTGGATGAATATTTTTCTCTTTTGGGTATTCTTGATAATATTGTTTTGAGAAAAGATTCCTTGGATAGAAGAAAATGATTTATTTCTTAATCAAGTGAGTTTTTTTTTATATTCATTATTTGATTCTTTTATCGCCAAATCATTTCTTCCTTTATTTCAACCTTTTTCCTTTGTGTGGAAGAGTACAATACCTTTGAAAGTACCAGTTTTTGCATAGTTGATTGCACACAAGAAGCTAAATATTAATACCATCATACTCTATTCAACCACAATGGTGTATCCTATGTAAAAAAGACAATGAGAGTACAATCATTCGTTCCTTCATTTTGCTTGTCTCAAAATTGTGGAATTACCTCTTGGGTGTTCTTGAGAGACCTTGGGGCTGGGGTGATCCAAGTAGTAGCAATTTGTTGTTTAGTATAGATTGCGATGGTTTTAGTTCTTGTACTAAGGTCAAGACTTTATGGTGATGTGCAGTGTTGGCTCTGCTTTGGTTGGTTCAGTTGGAAAGAAATGGATGGATCTTTGAGGATGAGGAAGTCCCTTGAAAAGATCTATGGGATAAAATCTCTTTTATGGCATCTCTTTTGGTGTCCAAATTTTGAAGGGATTTCTTTTTTTTATTTATTAAAAACCATTGGGCTCAAGTGTAAGAATAATGGCGCCATTTGAGTTTCCTTTTTTTTTTCTTCGTATTATTATCTTACATTGTATCAACACAGGCTTTCTTTTTCGTTCCTTCTTTCCATATCTCTTTAAGACTTCTTGTCCTCTCATATGCTAGTTTCATTAATAATATTCAATTGTTTCTACTAAGAAGCACGAATACAGATATGGGACACAGAGACGACACGATACAAATATGCAGACACGACATTTTTAAAAAATGTAGGGGCATAGACACATTGAGGATACACTACAAATAATTATATACTTTAAATATTGAATTACATAAGCTATCGTTGCATATAGTAAAATTACACTATTTTTACGATCCAAAAAAGAGTACATTATGATAAGGAAATCTTACATCTTCTGCTCTAGAGGCTTTTTTTAGTAATGGATCACAATAGCCAAAAATCTATGATATTTTATGGACAAATGAAGAAAACATACATAATTATTATCATTGCTTGCACCATCTCAAGTCCATTTTTTTTCACAAACTCTGTACATCTTGTAGTGTTTAATTTTAAGTAAACTTTAACTTGATTGGTCTAAATCATTATGTTAGGAAGCATGAACACTTCATTTTGGCCAAAGTATCCATGATGGATATGTTTCGGACACGGACACGCAAAAATGAGTGGCCAATTTTTTTTATTACTATATTTTTTTTCAACATGTTCGAGATACGTTGGGACACGCGACCGACACACTAGAAACATGATTTGAGTTTTTTTCTTCTTTAAATCTTTAGAAACTTTTCAACAAATTTTATAAGAAATGAAGTTTTTTTTGTAATTTCAAAGAGATACGTGTTAAAGAGATAATATAAAAAGAGTTATAATCACTACATGGCTATAGGACATCAATATAAACATAATTTTGTACACGGTTACAAAATTATATACAAAATGGGATACAACTTTTATATGAAAGTAATTTGATGAGAAATAGGATCACGAAGGTAGGTTTCTTTGAAATTAAATGAAAATTGAGGTTACAAAGTGAGATATTTTTTTAAATTGTAATTGTAACCTTCATTGATTGCTGGATCATAAATGATTATGATGAATACATCAGTCTGATATTTGATATTTATTCAATGACTTCATGAAGTTAAATTGTTAGAATTATAAAAAAGATGAATTGAATGACTATTTTATTAATATATATTTATGTTATCATATGATCATATATGTAAAAAATAAATACGTAATATATAGTTTGTGTCCCAACGAGTCCGTCCTCTACTTTTTTTAAAAATTCCGTGTTGGCATGTCCGTGTTTGTGTTTCTTAGTCATCATGTACTCTTTCATGGTATAAGATAGTCATTTGTCCAAATTTTCAAGTTTCCTAATTATATGTCAACAAATGTTTATTTATTAGTCATAGCATGGCCAAAAGAAATGTCTGACACTTCTCTAAGTCCAAAATTAAAATTTTATTTATTAGTTATGAATATGGCTAAAAAAGTATTTGACATGTGACTCAAGGTGTTCGAGAAGTGTCGATGCCCGACACAAATACACCACTCTTCTTGAGAGTGTTTGTGCTTCTCATGTCCAAAAAAAAAGGACCACGCCAATCAATACCACAAATTGATCTACTGTTTACTTCGCAATTGTACTCAAACAAAAATCCTGTCCGAAAATCCTATATTCCATGTGATAACAATAACCTGCGGGTACTGTAAAGATGGAAGCAGAGGTTCGGGTAAGTCTGCTGGGAAGAAAGGATGCTCGTCTGGGCTCTTGTATCTGCCAACCTAATTTCCAAAAGAAATTCTATTAGAAAAAACACAACCCTAATTTTTTCCATGTTCTCGGCATTCTAAGTATGTCTATACAAATTAAATAACCTGGGCATGAAGCTTTTCTGTTTCCTTCACCAAGAACTCAACCAAAGAACCACCGAACCCATCCATGGAAAATTCATTGTGGTTATATGTGTTCTCATTGTAACTATATTGAGCTCTTTCCAAGAGGCTAAAGATTATGCTGTCCTCTTGCCTGATCAAACAGTGCCTTATACTTTCTAGAGTCAAGCTCTCACTCTCATCCATCCTTTTCTTTGTATGTCTGCATCAAATATAACTCAAGGTTAAAAGTTGACCTTCAAACACTTGAATAGTCAAAAAGGCTAAGGACTGGCCTTCATAATAATCGACTCAATACATACTAAAGTATTCAACTCAGAAAAAATTGGTAATAAGCGCAAAGCTTCACATGGCATTACTGGATTACCAATAATCAGCATAGATCATGCTCTCCACAAAACCAATTTATACTGAGCAGAAGACACAGAGAGTTTGTTTATTAGCATGGGAGATTTACTACCAATGTGGGACAAGCTCTGATAACACATAGTCAAAAGAAGTGATCCACTTCTTTAATTTGAGCAAGCAGTTCCTTGTAATGAACTCAAGTATCAAAGTATATGTGGACATAGACCATGCTGCTTGCTTGCATTATGACCAACTCTCTGCTTGCATACAAAGCACCAAAATAACTAACAACTAAATCACTAAACAACCATTACAAATAGTACCATGCGCTCCTCAATAGGATGATCTATTCGCAATTATTTGATTCGTTAGCCATTTTGACTCAAGATTTGAGTTCAAACAAATTAGTAATTACAGTTGCACACACACAAAGATAATGGAGTAACTTTACCGTTGCGCTAAGGCACACAAGATTTACAGTAAAAACACTAGCATTATGCAAGTGAGCCTCAAATATTTATGATAAGTATGTCAGCACCCACAAAATGCATATAGAGAATTCACTCTTTCTTCCCAGTCTGGGGTTCTGTAGATACATACAATAAATATACAATCCAGGTGGGTCAATGTCAATATATGTGACTATACAACACTACTTAAGAATCAAGACATCCAGAAAATAGCCATACCTGGAGGGAGAAGTGGAAGAAACTCGAAGTGTGCAATAAGCTTTTGTTTTGCCTGAAATTGATTGAAGGAGTTTCGGAGTGGTTTGATAGGCGAAATTCGAGTCGGATTTTGGGTAATTTAGAGATTTGGGGGCTAAAATGACACGAAAGGCAGCTTCTGATAGCTTTGCCTCCATTGATGGTTGTTTGTGTGTGTGTGTGAGAGAGGGAGAGGGAGAGGGAGAGGGAGAGACTGAGAGTGAGAGTGAGAGTGAGAGTGAGAGAGAGTGATAGACGCAGAATCAAGCGCCGAAGCGTACACCTACTAATGGATGGGCTAGTGATGGTCACGGTTTTCGTCAAGAGTTAATCTCAAATTGCACCCAAAAATGGTTTGAATTTTAATTTGTATCATAAAAATTTGTATTAATATCTACTTCAAGCTAATAGCCCTTATTTTGCCACTTAAAATTAAATAAATAAATTATACATAGACCCCTCATACTTGTCATTAAATCACCTAAACCTCTCACGTTTAAAATATTATATCTACATTCTTTGAGAATCCAAATATAACTAAAAATATTTTTTCAATTAGACATTCAAATAATTCTGTTTTAAGTGATGTATTGCATTGGATATAAAGAACATTATATAAATACCTCAATTATATTGGACATTCAAATGATAAGCTTGATTTTGAATTTTAAAATATAACGGCCTACAAAATAAAGAGTGGTATGAAATTATAATTTTTTTATTAGGATGAAATCATATTTTTTAACAGTTTATATTAATAGATATTAACGACAAGGGGTTATATGTTATATGTGCACAAACATCAAGAGATGTAAGAGTAATATTTTAAACGTGAGGGGTCTAAATAATTAAGTGATAAGCGTAAGAATCTCGGGGTAATTTATCTATTTAGTTTTAGACAGTAAATTGAGGGTGTAAATAAGATTTTTTATTTTTGAGGGAACAAATTAATTCGAACGATATTTCGGAGTGCAATTTACAATTAACCCTTTTAGTTATACAAAAATACTCATCATTTTTTTTTAAAAAAAATTGATTTTAGTATAAAACTTTCAAAAAGTAAAATTAATAGGAATAAAAACCAGAATAGGCAAGGCTTGAATCCACAAAAGTATTGATGAATTTGAATTTTGACAATTTTGTTGGGTCAAGTCATAAAGGTTTATTTTTCATAAATATTATAATCTCGACATGGATGACCTATTTCTTAACGAAATGAGAAAGGAGTTCTTGATCGTTGAATAAAAAAAAAATAATGATCATAATATTTCAATAGCTAAGGATTTTTTTTTTTAGAGGTTCATATTAAACACTAGTAGATCTGAAAACGCAACTCATTTAATTAATTATGTCTTATCAACCTAATTTATTTATTTTCATATCGTGTTCATGTTAACTCTAGTAACTGGTGAATAACAAATTTAACACAAGTTTTAAGTATTATTTTACATTATCTCCAAATCAAACTCACCCTCAATACTTTTTTGATAAGTTAGAAATAACTTAACAAATATAAATAAAAAAATTATCTTTTGCATAAAAATTATGTCGATACTTGAAAAAAAAATTTGATATTTTATTCCCATAAAATTAGGTAAACGTATTAATCATGGTTGACACTAACTAACTCATTTATTATTTGTATTAATAAATAGTGTCATTTACGAGTTCATTTTAATAAATAAATAATTCTAATTTATTAATTTCATGTCCATTTCTAATAACCTATTGTGTCAAAAATAACAACCCACGTGCATGGTTCACCATTCACCTTAAAAGTTGCCTCAAATACACATCAGCATCGAGTCAAAAATCCAATTAAAGGGGCATCCCATATCAAAAGGAATTAAAGATTANAAATACACATCAGCATCGAGTCAAAAATCCAATTAAAGGGGCATCCCATATCAAATGGAATTAAAGGTTAAAATGTAAAGGACTTTGGCCGTGTCACTTCTCCATCTGTGCTGCTGGTGGAGGGCAATGACTGAGCTTGGCTGCTTCTTATTGAGCCAAGCTGTTCTTTTTTTCCCCCGAACGATTGGGTCACAACATTTTCATAGATGAGTAAAAGGTGTAAAATCCACTAAGAAAAATGTTAAGCAATTCAAATTTGGGATCCCAAATTATTAGTGAATCCCATTTTAAAAAGCTAATGGAATGGAAATCATTCATCCAGTGATCCCCATTCTCTTGGAATGCCATTTGGGCTGCGTAGGATCTTCCATTCCGCTAAGAAGATAACATTGAAAACATCTGGAGAGTTATAGACTCAATTACAGCTTAGTTTTCTTCTATTGGTAGAGGCAGCCACCAAGTTTGCTGCTTGGTTAGCACTTCAGGGGCTATAGATCTTGCCGCACTTCTGATATCATCCACCAAAGCTGCACCTTGAGTTCCCAGAAACTGCTAGTAAAAACACTTCTGCACAAGGCAAGAAGCAGGATGCTTCTCCCATCCCTCCTGCAGCCAAAGAGAATTCAGGGGAAAAAAAAAGGAAATACATAGGCCATGCGTTTATAAGTGAAGACCACACATTTATCCCCAGCCTCTTTTTTTTTTTTATATTGCAATAAAGGGTGTTCGGAACAGCTTATGTCCACCTCAACTAAATCTCTATCAAAGACAAACCATCCACAGGGCTAAGGGATTAACTTGGCCCCAACAAAGTTGTCAAGTTCAAGACGTCTAAGTTTCCAACTCTTCCCAAGAGTCTGCCGGACTGCATTTTAGATGTCCTCAAAACTAAACAGACATTACTTGAATCATATATTTCATGAACATGAGACTGAGGGAAGAAAAACATAGCTCAAAACCTCCATATAAAGAACAAATAAGTTCGAATCCAAATCTATATTCAGTGCAAGCAAGATTTATCTGACTTCAACCAAATTCTATCCTATTTTTTCATGGGTTCCATAAATGGTTTAAAGTCAATGCAATCGAAGCTATATTTCACACCAATTGGAATTAAAGAACAAAATCAAATTGGTATTCAGTCAAATATATGTTGCATTTACCAAAAATTCCAAAACGTAGAATATCCCCAAACAACTCCTAAACAAACGTCAGCCTCTGTAACTGGGGTACAAAGGAGATACCAAACTCCCCTTGTTTTTTATAGGTCAGAACATAAGTTTATGAAGTTAGGTTATAGTACAAAAAAATAGAATCAATCATAAAATATTTAAAAATCGAGAATAAATAAAATATTTTTTTGATACAAATCCGCTACAATGCAACACCAACCCACTTCTTCCGACACAATTAACGGCCCTAGTTCGCATCAGCAGTGTAAACATAAACCGCTAAAGGGTTTCCGAAATTGCAAACACTATTAACTTTCTAACAGAGATTCAATGGCCACAATTCATGAATAATAAAATTATCAGTAAGAAAGTTTCCAATTAAAGGTGCTTACGAGGCATGAGAAAAGTATATAAAGCAATACGAACAAACATACAATAGAAGTTATAGATTTCGAGTGGCAGAGCCCGCGAAACCATCATCGCCCAAATTGAATTGACGAATAAGTCAATTGTTTTTTAGTTTGGCTCAGGTGGCGGGCAGTCTTCATCGCAGTTTTAGAGAAGAAGGCCATGATTGGTGGTGAGTGAGCAAAGCCGCCTGCAGCCTACCATGGAGATGGTCTGGTTGGGTGACTCTTTCCTCACTCATCCCTCGCCGCCGCCTTCTCCACTACCACCGCTCAGATAAGATCAAGTAGTGTAATTCTCTCTATAGGGTTTTCTTCTCCTTTTATTCACTCTTTCCACTGCAGTCTCCTTTTGAATTCCCCAAAACACCCCCCCGCCCCAGTTTAATTTAGGGTAACTTGTAATTTGACCCCTTCAACTATTGAATTTTTTATATTGTCCTTTCAACTAATTTGATTATTTCACATTACCCCTATCACAAACTTTCTTTATTTTTTGGAAGAAAATTGATGACATGTCAGAGAAAAGTGAAAAACATTACATAGTTTAGAAGACAAAATAAAATAATTTTTTGTTAAATATGTAATCGACGTTAGTAATTGAGGTAATATGAAACTAATCACATAGTTGGTGATATAATATAAAAAATACGATAGTTGAGGGGACAAAATAAAAAAAACAGTCCTAGTTTAAGCGGCCAAATTATAATTTTATCTTCAATATATATATTTTGTATATAGTAAATGGATATGCAGATATAACCCTCTGCATATTTACCCCTAAGCACCGCACTATATATATATATTTTTGATACAATAAATGAATATACAAATATAATCGCTCTATATATTCGTTAAGGAGTATTGTTCTTCAGCACCGCATAATTATTTGTAAGAGATTCCATCACATTTATGTCAAGACTGAAGCTAATGTCTCACCATGTGTTCTAGACATTGAAGAATAAGTTTAACCCCTCTGAACTGTCACATATGGGGAGACTCAAACCCAGTTATTAAGTGAGAAAATCCAAATTCTTATTCATTAGGCCAATCGCTTGGTGTTATATTTATACTATATACTATGTACTACTAACAATAACTATTGTCTAAATATATTATATAATATTAAAAAATAAAATATTGATTGTATAATACTTATATTTTAAATAATTAATAAATTTTATATTTTTAATTACACAATTTAAAACTAAAGTAAATAAGGAATAAATAAAAAAAAGGTAAATGAGAAAGAATAGAAAGATAAGTGTAAATTGATATAGTTGTTTGAGATTGTAAGGCGTGTTAATTAAAATAATACTTTTGAGAGAAAAAAAAATTAGAATGAATTTTATATTATTGGATCAAAATAAAGAATAGAAAAGATATCAGAGGTGAAANTAATACTTTTGAGAGAAAAAAAAATTAGAATGAATTTTATATTATTGGATCAAAATAAAGAATAGAAAAGATATGAGAGGTGATATTCATTATATATGTTTGCTATTCTGTTCACGAATAGCGTCTCTTGCTTCTTCATTTTCGACTAGCAAGTTCTGTTTTGTTCTACTCACTTTGATTCCCCTACATTGGTATGTTGACAGTTATTGTACAATAAAAAATGATAATTTAATTTTTTTTGTTTAAATATTAAATAGATATTCAATAACTCATTAAAACAACTTAACTTTTTTTTTTTAAAAAATGATTAATTGTATTAGAAGTCCCAAAAGTTTTACATTTATTTTACTTTGGTCTTTAATATTTCAATTGCATCATTTTTGTCTCTGTAGTATTGAATATATTTTTATGTAGTCCTTTAAGCAGACAACATTTAAATTACTAATAGTTATTTTATTATAAATTTTCATGTGATACATAAATATGCAAAAAATAATAATTTAGATAATTTTTGACTAAAAATTTGATAATTCTTGATAAAAAATGTGTAATATAGGTATTTTTTGACAAATTTTGGATAGCTTACAATAAAAATGTATAATTTGGATAGCTCAGTGCCAAAATTTGAGTAAAAATTTGATGAAGAGTTATCTAATTATTTTTTAATCATATTTAAATAATACATAATAAATTTATAATAAAAAAATTATTAACGATCTAAACTTTGTCTATTTAAGGGATTATATAGAAACACGCAACTGAAATATTTGAGAAGTTCGAGAACAATTAACCTAAAAAAAAATTTTGAGAAAGAGTAATTCTACTTTTTTCCTAATACTCCAATTTCTCTCTCTCTCTCTCTCTCTCTCTCTCTAAATTTGCAAACAAGCTTTTTTTTTTTTTTTTGATCTCAAACAAGCTTTGGTCTCCACTTTCGTACAAATTCTTTCATTTTCTCTGTAAATCATCACCCCATCCAAACAAGAGCTCTTCTATGCGTTCAACTAACATCGAAGTCAGATCACTACTGCTCCTGCTCCTGTGCAAAGCCACTAACACACAAAAGGGCTCTGCCGATCATAATGTTGAAATATCCAACTTATTGACTGAATAATTTGAGCTTCCAGGTAATTCCCCCAAAAACCTTTATCTTCCTCCTCATCTGAACTTACTTCTGATCGTTAAACGTTTGTGTGATGTTGAAATTCTCTGTATTTCGATGCAAGTACCGTTTGAGTTTCTCAAAGTAAAATTTATCAGTTTTACTTGATTTAGTGATATGCTGGTTCTTATTTACATGTAAATCTTGAATTAGACATGCCCATAACTTTTGATAATTTACAACAAAAACATGAAAAAGTTCCCATTGCCATGCACGCAGAGTATTTCTGTTCCCATCATTTTTTTTTGTTACTTCTGCGGTTTGTAACTCTTCCTATTCTCTTTTATCCCTTCCAATTTTTTTTGTGTATCATATTATTGAGGCTTTCATTCCATGTTTTGTTTTACCTGATTTTGTTCCGAGGTGAATTTGATCGACCTTTGTTCTTCCCATTGCTGGTTTAGTTGCAACTTTTTTTTTTGGCAACATTGGCAATTTGGAGACTGTACTTGTCAGATTACAAATCTGTTGGTATATTATTCTTATTGCTTTTTTGGTGAATCATTGTTGGATTACAGTCTAATAAAAATGAGCTTGAACATAATAGGTTGCTTGAAGACTTTAAAATAGCTAAGATGGATGATGAGATGATTACGTTGCATAATGTCATGCCAGTGGAGATTGCAATGAAAAGGGAGTTAGAGTACAGAAGGAAGATGGAGGCATTAAGAAAGCAACGTCAGAGTTGTACAACGAAACCTCTGGAGCCTTTGGAGGTGAGGTTTCTGTTGAACTAATTCCACCAGATACCCAACTTTAACAGGCTTTGAATTTGGCTTGGATTCCACACAAAATATGTATCCTGCAGACATACTCAGCTTTATGCTATGTTTGGTAAGAATGATAAAAATTTGAAAGGATAGAAAAATAGAAAGAGTAAGTTTTTCATCTTTTGTGTTTGGTAAGAAGGATGGAAAAGTAGAAGGAATAGATTTGTTATTATTTTATTTGGTATGAAAAAAAAAGAATATTATTGCTAATGAACTATCAAAAATACCCTTAATAGAATATGAATAATCTATTGGCTTGAGACATGAATTCCAAAGGAGTAAATGACAATTAGCCATTACATAAATGCTACGGGACCCCATTTTGACCAACATATCAGGCATTGTTGCCATTTTTCGCTCGAAAACAGAGGGATAAAAAATGGTGGATTGCTTTTCGCTCCATTTTTCCTTTCCTCCATCTTTCATTTCCCTCCATCTTTCCTTTCTAATCAAACAAAAGAAAACTACATTTTTCTATCCTATTTTTCATCCACCATTTTCCTTCCATCCTATTTTCACCCATGTCAAACAGGGGATTGGTGTAATCTGGGTTCTGAGTAGTTATTACAATACAAAAGAACATGCATTGGAGTTTGGCCTTTGAAATGTTTTTCTTTTAGTGTTTTCCTATTTGAATACCTTTAAAAAGTTAACAAAGTTGGCGTTATCAACCTATGAGTACAACTTGCCCTAGAAAACTGGCTTGCAAAGAAAGGAGGTCAAAGAGTTCAAAGTTATACATCTAGTCTTATTTTTAAACGACGTGGGATTGTAACATTCCACCACACTTTTGCGTCCACGACGGTTTACTCTATCAGTACTGATCTAACGATAATCCTTTCACTTTGACAACCCTTTCACTTTGATAGCTCCACTCACCAATCAGTATTCAATAAGATAGCACTATGCCTATACATAATACCAAATCATTTTAATTTAGCCTANTCTATCAGTACTGATCTAACGATAATCCTTTCACTTTGACAACCCTTTCACTTTGACAGCTCCACTCACCAATCAGTATTCAATAAGATAGCACTATGCCTATACATAATACCAAATCATTTTAATTTAGCCAATAGGTTGCCTCTTTCATGACTCAATAACCATGAGTCACAGCTCATATTGCGTTAGATCCTATACTCGATGTGGTGCCTAGCTTTGATTCTAATTGTTATGAACCCATGAGTATAACTTGGGAAGAGTGTCCAAGAAGTCATATACACACATCTTGTCTTATTTTTTACTTNCTCAATAACCATGAGTCACAGCTCATATTGCGTTAGATCCTATACTCGATGTGGTGCCTAGCTTTGATTCTAATTGTTATGAGCCCATGAGTATAACTTGGGAAGAGTGTCCAAGAAGTCATATACACACATCTTGTCTTATTTTTTACCTGTGAGGGATCGTAATAGAAGGACATTAGGTTTTCTTTCAAACCAAAGAGCAAAACCAAGTCTTCACCCAAATTTTTTGTCATTCTGCTCGGTCGAGGGATATAGTTTAGTTAAATTCCACATACCCATATCCTTTTTTCATTAATTAGTCCATGTGAATTTTATTCTTTTCCTTCCCCTTGCCTTTCCAGTAACAGTAATCATGTCACTTTCATAGGGATTCTTCTATTGGTCTTCATTGTTCATAAAACCATCCTAATCTGTTTTCTCTTAACTTATCAGGTGCATCTATAGGTTTTCTTAACTGGATTATAGTTATATTCCCGGGGAAAATGAGGAATTCTATTCTGNTTGAAAGGATAGAAAAATAGAAAGAGTAAGTTTTTCATCTTTTGTGTTTGGTAAGAAGGATGGAAAAGTAGAAGGAATAGATTTGTTATTATTTTATTTGGTATGAAAAAAAAAGAATATTATTGCTAATGAACTATCAAAAATACCCTTAATAGAATATGAATAATCTATTGGCTTGAGACATGAATTCCAAAGGAGTAAATGACAATTAGCCATTACATAAATGCTACGGGACCCCATTTTGACCAACATATCAGGCATTGTTGCCATTTTTCGCTCGAAAACAGAGGGATAAAAAATGGTGGATTGCTTTTCGCTCCATTTTTCCTTTCCTCCATCTTTCATTTCCCTCCATCTTTCCTTTCTAATCAAACAAAAGAAAACTACATTTTTCTATCCTATTTTTCATCCACCATTTTCCTTCCATCCTATTTTCACCCATGTCAAACAGGGGATTGGTGTAATCTGGGTTCTGAGTAGTTATTACAATACAAAAGAACATGCATTGGAGTTTGGCCTTTGAAATGTTTTTCTTTTAGTGTTTTCCTATTTGAATACCTTTAAAAAGTTAACAAAGTTGGCGTTATCAACCTATGAGTACAACTTGCCCTAGAAAACTGGCTTGCAAAGAAAGGAGGTCAAAGAGTTCAAAGTTATACATCTAGTCTTATTTTTAAACGACGTGGGATTGTAACATTCCACCACACTTTTGCGTCCACGACGGTTTACTCTATCAGTACTGATCTAACGATAATCCTTTCACTTTGACAACCCTTTCACTTTGATAGCTCCACTCACCAATCAGTATTCAATAAGATAGCACTATGCCTATACATAATACCAAATCATTTTAATTTAGCCTATAGGTTGCCTCTTTCATGACTCAATAACCATGAGTCACAGCTCATATTGCGTTAGATCCTATACTCGATGTGGTGCCTAGCTTTGATTCTAATTGTTATGAGCCCATGAGTATAACTTGGGAAGAGTGTCCAAGAAGTCATATACACACATCTTGTCTTATTTTTTACCTGTGAGGGATCGTAATAGAAGGACATTAGGTTTTCTTTCAAACCAAAGAGCAAAACCAAGTCTTCACCCAAATTTTTTGTCATTCTGCTCGGTCGAGGGATATAGTTTAGTTAAATTCCACATACCCATATCCTTTTTTCATTAATTAGTCCATGTGAATTTTATTCTTTTCCTTCCCCTTGCCTTTCCAGTAACAGTAATCATGTNTTGAAAGGATAGAAAAATAGAAAGAGTAAGTTTTTCATCTTTTGTGTTTGGTAAGAAGGATGGAAAAGTAGAAGGAATAGATTTGTTATTATTTTATTTGGTATGAAAAAAAAAGAATATTATTGCTAATGAACTATCAAAAACACCCTTAATAGAATATGAATAATCTATTGGCTTGAGACATGAATTCCAAAGGAGTAAATGACAATTAGCCATTACATAAATGCTACGGGACCCCATTTTGACCAACATATCAGGCATTGTTGCCATTTTTCGCTCGAAAACAGAGGGATAAAAAATGGTGGATTGCTTTTTGCTCCATTTTTCCTTTCCTCCATCTTTCATTTCCCTCCATCTTTCCTTTCTAATCAAACAAAAGAAAACTACATTTTTCCATCCTATTTTTCATCCACCATTTTCCTTCCATCCTATTTTCACCCATGTCAAACAGGGCATTGGTGTAATCTGGGTTCTGAGTAGTTATTACAATACAAAAGAACACGCATTGGAGTTTGGCCTTTGAAATGTTTTTCTTTTAGTGTTTTCCTAGTTCAATACCTTTAAAAAGTTAACAAAGTTGGCGTTATCAACCTATGAGTACAACTTGCCCTAGAAAACTGGCTTGCAAAGAAAGGAGGTCAAAGAGTTCAAAGTTATACATCTAGTCTTATTTTTAAACGACGTGGGATTGTAACATTCCACCACACTTTTGCGTCCACGACGGTTTACTCTATCAGTACTGATCTAACGATAATCCTTTCACTTTGACAACCCTTTCACTTTGACAGCTCCACTCACCAATCAGTATTCAATAAGATAGCACTATGCCTATACATAATACCAAATCATTTTAATTTAGCCAATAGGTTGCCTCTTTCATGACTCAATAACCATGAGTCACAGCTCATATTGCGTTAGATCCTATACTCGATGTGGTGCCTAGCTTTGATTCTAATTGTTATGAGCCCATGAGTATAACTTGGGAAGAGTGTCCAAGAAGTCATATACACACATCTTGTCTTATTTTTTACCTGTGAGGGATCGTAATAGAAGGACATTAGGTTTTCTTTCAAACCAAAGAGCAAAACCAAGTCTTCACCCAAATTTTTTGTCATTCTGCTCGGTCGAGGGATATAGTTTAGTTAAATTCCACATACCCATATCCTTTTTTCATTAATTAGTCCATGTGAATTTTATTCTTTTCCTTCCCCTTGCCTTTCCAGTAACAGTAATCATGTCACTTTCATAGGGATTCTTCTATTGGTCTTCATTGCTCATAAAACCATCTTAATCTGTTTTCTCTTAACTTATCAGGTGCATCTATAGGTTTTCTTAACTGGATTATAGTTATATTCCCGGGGAAAATGAGGAATTCTATTCTGTTTATAAGATTCCAGGATGAATTATCTTCCATGATTATTTCATTTCATTGTCTTTTGTCATGTTCATATGGTTGTTTCACAGGTTACTGCTTTGATAAATGGTAAAAAGAAAAATTGAAAGCAGTAGAACAGCCTATTGGTATGACGATTGGATGGGGGTAGAATCTGTCCCTTCTGGACCATATAACTTTGTGCAGGAACAGCCCAACATTACGTAATCTACCAAAAAAATTTGTACTAATATCAGGAAACTTTAGCAAGAATATTTGTTTTAACCTCCCCCTGAAATACCTAGCATATTAGCTAAGCGGGCAATTGTAACTGTGAAATGGTATGAAAATGCGGACACAGATCAACAACCATATGACTGGCTTGTGAATTTCATGTGGTGTATGCTTCCTAATTGCTGCATTTCTTAATCTTCTATCTGTTATATATGAGTTGATGTAGATTGTTATTGCAAAACTAGGATCAAGCTGACAGTTTCTTCATTGAATTGATATGATGAATAGGGCAGCTTGTTGGACTGAATCTATTTCATAGCTTCATTTTGGGCATCCATATCTAAAGACTTAGTGAATGTTCCACGTTTTTGCATTATTGTGAGTCAGACTGCATCATGTTTTATGATTGTCATTCTGAGAGTATTATAGTGTTGTGCCTATTCTTATGTTTTTTGGTTTGGGTTGGAGTTCTTGTCTGATTCTGTACTTCTTTACTTCATTCATTAATAATTTTTTTCCCTATATAAAAAAAAAAATGAAAACAGATAAGGCANCTGCATCATGTTTTATGATTGTCATTCTGAGAGTATTATAGTGTTGTGCCTATTCTTATGTTTTTTGGTTTGGGTTGGAGTTCTTGCCTGATTCTGTACTTCTTTACTTCATCATTAATAATTTTTTTCCCTATATAAAAAAAAAATGAAAACAGATAAGGCAAGTGGGTCAATTATAAAAGATAAGTCAATTGGGGCAATCATTTGGATCTATTTATATTGTTTCTTTTACCTGTAAGTGCTGTTTATATTGATAAATGCAATGCAATGCAAGTGGGGCAATCATTTGGATATATTTATATTGTTTCTTTTACCTGTAAGTGCTGTTTATAAATGCAATGCAATGCTCTGGTATGTTTTTATNTCATTTGGATCTATTTATATTGTTTCTTTTACCTGTAAGTGCTGTTTATATTGATAAATGCAATGCAATGCAAGTGGGGCAATCATTTGGATATATTTATATTGTTTCTTTTACCTGTAAGTGCTGTTTATATTGATAAATGCAATGCAATGCTCTGGTATGTTTTTATAGTTGGTGTTCATGCATGGGCGAAGGCAGAAATTCAAAATTGGGTGGCCCAGTGAAGAGTGGAACAAAATACAGTATAGGATTGACAGTCCCTAGTTGAAACAATTCATATGTGAAGCAGGCCCAATGTAAAAATATTCTAAAAGTTTGTAAAAACAAAAAGACCAAGAGGAAATTCCTAAAAACTTAGGGGTTGCCCTCTTCAGTAGTTTTACTGTGGCTTGGCCTGTGATTATGAAGGGGAAAACTTATATTTTAACCATTAACATATGTAAATGAGATATGTTAGAAACATTTTTCTTTTTTTTTTTTTGTAGAAAACTCTTTTCATGCGGAAGGTATTTCATTATTCTTGTATCTGATATAAAAGAATGACAAGATTTGAATCTGCAAACTTTTACTACTACAGGATTACGAATATACTGGTATTTCTGTGCTTCTTTGTTTTACATGTTCTATGTTCTTGCCTGATAGATTTGTTGGTTTGACAATATCCCACAAAAGTGAGAAATCTCTTGATTTACTGGTCTCTCATAAGTATTCCTGTACTACTTTCCCTAAATTGACAGCAATGAGAATTTGATTGCCTCCAATTACCATTGATTCTTAGTGCTTCCATAAGGTTTTTTTGTCGTTGCAGGGACATCTTTCTATTCAAGCAGGAATAAAGAGAAAAAGACCAGATGGCAACTGCCAAGGCGTTTCTCTCCAGTGGCCTTCTTCGGGTCGCCAAGCCTTTCAAAAACATTGTGCTGGCCTTGTCTGCAAGCCCTGTCAGGTGTCTTTCTCTACTTTGTTTCATCTCAAGAATCATTGTGAGGGTCAAACACACAAAGGCAAATTACTTCAGTTGAAGAAAATAGGAACACCTTTAAGCAACCCACTCTGTTGTGAACTATGTAATGCTTTTTGTTCAAGTGGACCAACATTGGAACAGCATCTTAAGGGGACAAAACATGCTTCTTGCCTCCAAGAGATTGAGAATGCGAAACAGACTAAAGCACAGGCTTTGGCTGCAAATAGTAGATAACAAGCACTCAAATGGGAGATTTGATTTTGAACTTAGGTCAGAGAATTCAGCTGGCTAAGCTTTGACATTGTCTTCATAATTCTGTTAGCAAGTACTTTCTTCCTCTGATCTTTTATTTATCAGGAAACCGATATTACTTGGATTAATTTGTGTATTAACCTTGTCTGGAATCTCAAATGTATATATGACTGGATCAAAGTAGGACTTTAGAAATAAGCTTGTAATTTTGGAAAGAATTATGACTACAAACTTTTATGTAAGCAACTTATCAAAGTACGATGCTTAAACTGACAAACTGTTTTTTTTGCTGGTGTGTGATCTGATTCCAAGAGATTGTTTGATTGACATGATGGAGTCGATTAGGGATGTTCCCAAAAGATTGTGTGAATCATTAATGTATGGGCTTTTGCTTCTTTTAGATAAATCGTGTTTTCCCTATGGCCTATTAGTGATTAGTTGGTTGAATGATGGTATCACTTTTGACTTCTATTAATCTACTAGTTCCTTATTTTCACCGACTTGAATCTTTATAACCATCAAACTTAAGTCCTCTCAGTGTTAGTCTACCATTCTGAGTAAATTCACATGGTCGATTGATGGCCGAGGCTCAAATGAAAGGGTGCAAATTCAGGGAGTGCTGGTCTGTGTCAGACACTTACCTTGGATTACCACTGACGTGATCTTAGTGTGCTCTTCTTGGACTATGCTTTTGCCAATGAACCCTTGTATAGCGGGTCCCCTTCTTGGGATGTTGATAGGGCTTTCCACTTCCCCTCTCCTGCCCTTTCTGGGAGAGGATACAAAATTGAGTTTTGTGTAGGCCTTTTGAATTCAGACTGTACTTAGTGGGATATGTTTGATTCACTGATTTTCTTATAGAATAATTACACATGAATTACTAAACGTTATATTTAATTGGCTTCTTATTGTTTATTTGCCAATACACTAGTGCGAATTATCATTCCACATACAAACTTTCCCTGAGCATGAATTTCCTAGCTTTCTTATAAGCCTTCTCCAAGTATTTTCTGGTCCTGACTAAGTCTAGTTTGACATCTTGGGTCAGATATGTACCCATCTTAGACCAATTTCCATTTAGAATGGCTCCTGGGTTACTTAACTCCAAGCTATCTCTTGCATATTTATCCATCAGGCTGCTCTCCTGTGCTTCAATGTCATACTCTATATACTCTAATCCCAAACTAATTGCGAGCTTTCCAAAACATATTTCTGCTAACCAGTCAAATCCAATCGGTACCACCTGCATGAACACTGCCCCAGGACGGAGGAACAACTCATGTGTCAGTCCTGCACCATGCACCCCCATCATTGCATGGCTAGCATCAATGAGCCTAAAAGCTTCATGCAAAGGGGTCTTATGTGTTGGCTCAAAAATAACCACATCAAACCCCACGTCCTCTGCTGCTTCCTGGACATCGTCTTGGTTTAGTATCCTGCGGTTGCTTTCACGGCTAACCATTACCAGCTGTGGCCGAGCTTTGAGTTGCTTGGATGGTAATTCATGACTTTGGCTGTATGTAGTAGCCAGGAGTGCACGGAAATCTAGGATGGACTTTGAGTGGGGACCAGGTAGTAATGTGGGGTTCACAGTCATGGGACCATGTGATATGAGACCAACAGTTGCTGATGGGAAGCAATGTGTGATTGTTTCATCATCAAGGTTGATGATTGGATGGCTGGTGAAGCGATGAAGTAGCTTGGCATACTTAAGCAGCCACCCTTCGTTGCAGTTGACAACCACAAGGATGATTTCCTGGTTGGGGAGCTGNTGATTGGATGGCTGGTGAAGCGATGAAGTAGCTTGGCATACTTAAGCAGCCACCCTCCGTTGCAGTTAACAACCACAAGGATGATTTCCTGGTTGGGGAGCAGTGAATTGACAGTAAGAAAGAGAGGAATGAATCCGTCGTTAAAATCATGCAGAAAATTTCCAGTGTACCCACCCGCACTGAATACTAAGGCAGGGATACGGTGTATAATTGCACAGGAAGTGTTGGGTGGGGCTGTGGTGAGGGTAAGCTCCCTGATGAGGGACATCACTTGATTTTGCCATTTACGAGGGTAAGGACGGATCTTTTCCAATTGCCGTGGGGTTGAATTTGTGGGGTCCACTGCAGATAATGTTGCTGTTGTTGGATCCAAGACAGTTGAACGGTTGAGATAGCATACATCGTACTCATAATGAGAACGATCACATTTGATTGGCTCAGTGACCTTTGATCTTTGCTTTGAAAGGTTTTGTTCTGTAAATGAGGTAATCACAGCATATAAAAAAGTAAAACCAGAGACGGGGAAAGATAGTGAAGAAAAATATGAGTAACAAATGAGCAAAAGAAAACATTAATTGCCTAAGTTTATTCTATTTTTCTTTTATTTTTCATTTTTGTTGAAATGTTAGTTTATTGTGTTTATATAGTGGTTGAGGATATCAGAAGTCGATGATCGGTCACTCTTGGGAGTTCTAAAATAAATGCAACAGTGATTGAAAGATATTCAAAATAATTTTGGGCAGTAACTCTTCATGTATTATGGTTAAGGTTAAACCTCTTCTTTCGCCTGTCTGTTTCCTTCCTGTTTGGTGAAGGTGCAGGTCTTGCGACTATGATGTTATGCTTTTATAGAAAGAGATTTAAAGAAGAGCATATAATGGAGAAAGAAAAGATGTATGTACCGATTTTATTTTACCTTATCATTTTTCGTATTATTGATGGGTGTTTTGGAAGTTCAATCTCAAATAATTATTTCATCTATTTCTGGAGTTATTTGTTCTTTTATTTCCTTCCTCTGAAATATTACTTAATATTGTTTTCTTTGAAATATTGATTATGTTGTTGGAATGGTATGCACAGGGTTATCGGAAAAGTTGAATTCTGGTGATCATCAAAATAAAAGGGATTTTGTTTCCTGCTTGATCATGTAATATATACATATATGATTGTTTATTTCTATTTGTTTCCCGCTTGATCTTATATGTCTTGATAAATTGATTACAAACCATTCTATTTGGTGATTATAATTATCCTTTGAGTATGCCTCTTCAGTTGATCCAAAACTGCACTTTGTGAAGTCCATTGCTACCTATTAGGTATTGGTCTAGCTATCGTATATATGTTCTCTTGCATAGGCTGTTTAATTTGTTGGTCCCCTGCTTGTCCCTTTATTTTGCATGATTAATGCATAGAAATGTTACCAAAAGCTGATGTAAAGAAAACAGATTGTGTGGCTGTGCTTTTCATGCTTGTAATCAAATTTAGTAAGCGACTGAGTTACATATATAAAACTTAAGCAATTACATTGGCCTACGAACTCTTGTAATTGAAATGATTATTAGCAAGAATGTTTACATTAAGCATATATGCATTGCGGCTTAGTTTGAAATGTATTTCGTGTGACAAAGTGAAACAAATCTTAACAAAATTGTATTAGAGCCTTTTATGATAATATGATAATTGTATTCTCTGCCATATGCATGTAGCTCACTTAGAAGTATTTGGTGCATTCTCACTTACACCATTTTTCTATGTTTTAAAGCATAAATATCTAATTATTGAGACTCATTCTCGAAAAAAATTGAGTACCTTGAAATTGTGATAAATTACCGCTGATAGTCTTATCTTCAGTCCTTTTTGAATATGTTACTGATGATATGGAGATTTTGAAAGTGATATCAAGAAGGAAGACGAATATTAACACCATCAAGCATATGGCCAGAGTTGTCGGACCTTTTTCCTTCATTGCTTGTGACCCTGCAGCGTCCCTCCTAAAAACCTGAAAACAAATTACTGAGGAAAATGTTGAGGTATATAAACCTTAACTGTCTAAGTTACACTTGAAAGTTGAGATATTTGTAGAAAATTCATGCATTTTGTAGGAAACAAATTTTTTGTGACAATACTGGAAACAGAACAAAGCTTAGGTTGTATCAAAATCTTGCATTCTTTATGGAAGTTTCTTCTTTGATTGATCTAATGACTGTAGAACAATTATTTTAAAAAATCAAGTTAGCTAGTTATGGGACCAATTTTCCTACATTATTGTGACTCTAAATGTCTTAACATGAAAAATTGAGATGACTAGCCTAGGGAAAACAAAAAATCTCAGAGATCAATCCGGGAAGATTGTGAACAAGAACAATAAAACAACCAGAGGGAACCTTTGAATGTAAAATGTTCCTTAAACAAGCAAAAAATATCCTAGTGCAGAATTTAAAGAATAGAAGTAAGTAATAGAGAAAGGAAATTAGGGTTACTCACCTGAACTTCAGAAAAGAGAAGGCTACTACTGAGAGAAAAGAGAGTCCTTGCTAGAGGAAAGAGCCCTTGTAGTAGTGGAGGTGTAGAGAGAGAATTTAGACTAGCCCATGTCAAGAAGATTACAGAAATCTACCTCCATCAATTGAGCCACATGGTGCCATTTTGGAGTTTAGGTTGTNAGTAAGCGACTGAGTTACATATATAAAACTTAAGCAATTACATTGGCCTACGAACTCTTGTAATTGAAATGATTATTAGCAAGAATGTTTACATTAAGCATATATGCATTGCGGCTTAGTTTGAAATGTATTTCGTGTGACAAAGTGAAACAAATCTTAACAAAATTGTATTAGAGCCTTTTATGATAATATGATAATTGTATTCTCTGCCATATGCATGTAGCTCACTTAGAAGTATTTGGTGCATTCTCACTTACACCATTTTTCTATGTTTTAAAGCATAAATATCTAATTATTGAGACTCATTCTCGAAAAAAATTGAGTACCTTGAAATTGTGATAAATTACCGCTGATAGTCTTATCTTCAGTCCTTTTTGAATATGTTACTGATGATATGGAGATTTTGAAAGTGATATCAAGAAGGAAGACAAATATTAACACCATCAAGCATATGGCCAGAGTTGTCGGACCTTTTTCCTTCATTGCTTGTGACCCTGCAGCGTCCCTCCTAAAAACCTGAAAACAAATTACTGAGGAAAATGTTGAGGTATATAAACCTTAACTGTCTAAGTTACACTTGAAAGTTGAGATATTTGTAGAAAATTCATGCATTTTGTAGGAAACAAATTTTTTGTGACAATACTGGAAAGAGAACAAAGCTTAGGTTGTATCAAAATCTTGCATTCTTTATGGAAGTTTCTTCTTTGATTGATCTAATGACTGTAGAACAATTATTTTAAAAAATCAAGTTAGCTAGTTATGGGACCAATTTTCCTACATTATTGTGACTCTAAATGTCTTAACATGAAAAATTGAGATGACTAGCCTAGGGAAAACAAAAAATCTCAGGGATCAATCCTGGAAGATTGTGAACAAGAACAATAAAACAACCAGAGGGAACCTTTGAACGTAAAATGTTCCTTAAACAAGCAAAAAATATCCTAGTGCAGAATTTAAAGAATAGAAGTAATAGAGAAAGGAAATTAGGGTTACTCACCTGAACTTCAGAAAAGAGAAGGCTACTGCTGAGAGAAAAGAGAGTCCTTGCTAGAGGAAAGAGCCCTTGTAGTAGTGGAGGTGTAGAGAGAGAATTTAGACTAGCCCATGTCAAGAAGATTACAGAAATCTACCTCCATCAATTGAGCCACATGGTGCCATTTTGGAGTTTAGGTTGTAATTAGAGTGAGCTTTGAAACTTTCTGGCGCCTTTTTTTCACAAATTCAGCCAAAAACTGATCCTGAATTCCAGGGCCCTTTTTCACTAGCTTCCCAATTGCATTTCTTTTCATCATAATACTGTATGCCAAACAAGGAAAAGAAAACTTTCAGCTCCCCTTTCCTTCCATCACACCAAATGAAGCCTATTATTCTCTCTGAGTTTGTACATATATAGAATGTTGAATTTGTATGGAAAATGTATTGATACCCAGGGAAGAGGGGTGATCCCCTGGCGCAAAAATTTAAAAGATCTTTCTTATTCATATTTTCCATTATTCATTGTAAATGAGCCTCAATCATATAGATTCACTATTGACTCGGCTATCCCATTTTTTTTTTTGTTGTTTAAAATGTTGTCTCTATATGCTATTGTACCCCTTTGGATAACTTCCTATATCTGACTCTTTTATTACCTTGCTTTTCTTCTGAAGGTTGTGATACTTGTTTTTCTACATACAAGTACTGGAGTTGAATGAAAACTTCAAGCTTGTAAGAGCCAAATCTACAGTTTGTAGTGCTGCAAATTGTTAATTGACGGCAGTTTTGTAGTTGTACTGCAAATAGTTTCATTTGAATACTTTTTCCTCAAATTCCTAGAGACTTATATATTAGAAAGTTGGACTATGTGAAAACTAGCGTATACAATGATTTTTTTTTAGTAGGGCAAAAGGAGAGAGGGGGGGTGGGGGGGGGTTGACTAATATGTGGCAACTCCGGCATAACCATAAGGGTCCTCTTATTATGAAATGTCTAATTTGAGTCATAGCTATTAACTCAAAAGGATAACCCATCACCATAGCACCGTTAAAGTCAAACAATAAACTACATTACCCCTATGGATCGAACCATGCTTGATAATCACATAAGAATCAGGGATGACCATAAACAGGTACGGTTTACCTCATATCACCAGCTCGGGTGGTATAAAGTGAAATTAACTTGACTATTTATAAGGCACATGCATGCTTTAGTGTCTGGATCCCCTCTAATTCGTTTTATTTGTTTTGAATTTATTTCAATGATAGATTACTTACCACGAATTTTAAGCGGAATGCATAATTTCAAGTGACCACGTACGCTGTAAATACACGGTTGGTGAAGCATCATTTGTGACACCCCATAATTCGGGTGTCTATAATTATCCATCGACCCGTGTAATACTGGTGAATATCGTGTAATTTGATACCACACCGTTATGTTCCATTTCTCGGGATCCATAACTTAACAAAATTTGGGCAGAGTCTCCTTTGTACGAGGAGCTCTACTCAAAGCGCAACCTGTATAATATTGACCACACCGGGTCTATCTATCCATTCACAATTGTATAGTCTCGAATACTACCATAATCATTATCAGTATATACATTTATTCGTAAAAGAATAAATGTTCAAAAAGAGTCTCATATACATACCAAATGTTTGTTACAAAAATTATACAAGGTCAAAAGTAAGTATAAACAAGGGACTACAATGTCAAAATAAAAGCCACAGACCGGCTCTGTCGTCAAAGCGGGTCTATGGCCTCGCCTTCGGTGGACGCCTGTGCGATACCTGAAAAATGTTCCTATAAAGGGTGAGTCAACGCACAATACGGTAACTCATATAGAGAATACCTCTCAGCCTAAATGCATATGGAATGTCACATGCAACAATCNGCCTGTGCGATACCTGAAAAATGTTCCCATAAAGGGTGAGCCAACGCTCAATAGGGTAACTCCTATAGAGAATACCTCTCAACCTAAATGCATATGGAATGTCACATGCAACAATCATTTGATACATTCATTCAAATATGTCTATTATGATTGAATGTTATAAATCATGTCATGCCATGAGATGAGATTCACGCAAGCAATACCAACCCCGAGCCCCATCCTGAGCTCCCATAACACATGCAATGTCATGCGTATGTATCCGAGCATTCCAAGCCCCCATCATTGGTGTTATGTACACTCAATGACTAATTAATTCATATTCTTGTGTCTTTGTGGAGAGGTGATTTATGGTATTACACCAATGGGACACCAACCATCAACGGATCTTCAGGACATCCCACCTGCGGCTCCGTTTCCGTCGTTACACTTTTCTGGAATTTCACCGCCGGAAAGTGTATAAACTAAGTAAGCGGGTCTTGCACCCGAGGGAGAATCTAGCCCTTCTTGTTGTCCCCAACACATTTATCCATTTAATTTTCCGTGCGACTCAACCGAACCTTGGTGCGATTTTTTCAAATTCACGTTCAACCACCTATGTGATNAACAATTAATTATTATTTTATCCCTTTTATTAGGATTTTTAATAATAATAATAATAATAATTTTTTTTTTTCGGATTTTACATCATTGAGAGAAATTGATAGAAAATATGTTTGGAGAATTGTGTATCTGTTACGCTATATTCCTTTTGTGATTTGCTCTTCAACTTGATAAGTATTTGTTTAATAAGCGTTGGGAGTCCAAATCAAAGCAACTTTTGACGATATTTGCCCAGCTTTCACTGGTTTAGAGTCTCTTACATTACTTTTAGAGGTTTTGGATTCCAACACCATAATGCCAATGACACGAGCCTTATTTACGAAGCAAAACGACTTCGTCTTGCTTGTTTCGAGTGAAGCTTTTAGNATCTGCCATTAAAATATAAAGTAATACTAACATACAATTAACATGCTTTAAACTACTAACATTAACTTACACCAAGTTAATCAAAATAGAATTTTATTAATTACAAGATTAATTATAAATTTTATATTTGACCCACTAGTCACACTAGTCAAGACCTAACATGTGATATACACTCATAATCTATTCATTCCATATGTCATATTTTAAGTTGAAATTAAATCTAAATAGGGGAAACCCTACCTCTCGTAGCGTGAGACCACTTACTAGAACGCCAAGGAAGCCCAAATTTAGCTTCCTAAGTTTTAAGTCTAGATTAACGGCTTTGATATTCCTTTGGAGAAAAATACGATATTTGGTGTGGTTGCGTAGCTCTCGCTGAATAGAGCAACTTTAGTTATTGACCTGAAGCGATTAAACAGTTAAATTTTCATAAATCTGAGAAAGAAGAAAAGAAAAAAAAATAAAAAACTCATTTTTTTTTTCTCACTCTCTCTGTCTCGCCGGTTGGAGAAGACATAAAAAGTAAGACTTTGTCTTCCACTTTTATATATATATATATATATATATATATATATATATAGTATAAATTTATTATTATTATTATTATTTTTAAATTTACATTTTTGACCCATAATTT